CGCGGGGGTCAAGAGAGGTGAGTTAATTAAAAAAGTTTTGATTACAGAAATTGATTGTCTTTGTGCTAGAAATCTTGAAGTCAAGATGAGAATTTTCTAATAGGGTTAATTCTTTACTAATGCAGGGACCAACAAATAAGAAGAGTGTCCAGCCAAAAGTAAGAAAAAACATCCAAATTAACAATGAAGAAGTAGGAGATCAGCAAGAGATTAATAATGCAGCAAAGTGTAAGAGTGGACAGAGCACAAGTAGTTGTAGCTCTGAGGAAGATTCCAATGCTTGTCAGGAATTAAACACAAATTCTGACACTAAAAGCAACTTGAATAGTAAAACAAGGGCCAGCAGAGGAACTGCAACAGATCCCCAGAGCCTTTATGCAAGGGTAAGCAGCTTGAATAGTTGAATGGCGTTTTTACTCTTCTCCTTCTCATACTTTTAAACACACTGATAGTTTAGAATTTTATACTGTCATATAACGTGAAAGATTACGATGAAAATTCTCTGTAAAAAGTGAAAATTGGAAAATAAGGCAAGTTACGTGCTTCGACATGTTAAAAGCACTGCTAATTATAACTGTCCATGTACATAAGTTAAATCCTAAAACTAAAAGGTCAGCTGGGTACACAAGGCATCCTGCGTACACGCGGGATCCGGGAAAGAACCGTACCACAAGGGGTGTGATGTAGATAGCATGCATTAGGATAGACTTCCACGGCTCGAACCCGCGACCTACATGTTATACGGAAACAACTTTATTTTTGTTCAAAGGCTCCCCTTCACGTTAAATCCTAAAACTGATATTTTTATTTACAAACTGCAGAGAAGAAGAGAGAAAATCAATGAAAGATTGAAGATCTTGCAGAATCTTGTCCCCAATGGCACAAAGGTACAATGCTTTTAATTACCATCTTACATCCCCTCGAAATAGTATGTATAGATAGCATTCTAGTGTTTCCTAAACGTGTTGAAAATAATCAAGAATAGTCCTCTGATTTAGTTCTTTAATTGGTGTAACTCAGGTTGACATAAGCACAATGCTTGAAGAAGCCGTCCAATATGTGAAGTTTCTGCAGCTACAAATTAAGGTATATATAAAAACCAAAGTTTCCCTTTTTTGCTTCTTTATTATTTCATAGATTGAAATCAGAAGGAATCTTAATAACTAATTAAATACTTCCCACTTACTGCAGTTACTGAGCTCGGATGATATGTGGATGTATGCTCCAATTGCTTATAATGGGATGGAGATGGACCTCTCGCATACCTAATTTATAATTTGGAAGCAATAATATGCCATTTGCTTTTAATTATTTACCTACAAGATACTAAGAAACCAATATGCTGACTATGTAAAAACGCATTTTTTTGTATATTGATCATGAGTAATTCTCATGTTTCATATTAGACATGTATAGCCTATCAATTGTACCTATTAACGAATAACGATCACCTACACGCTATTATGATGAGAGTTACTATAATTTAACTAACTTAAGCTAAATATCATAGTATAAAGCTACACAAGTTAAACGCATTAAAAAAAGGATATACTGCTATTTTAGTTTAAACAAAATTGAACCAAAGCCAGTGAAAAATTCGGGATTTGGAATAAGTGGATTATGTTCTTTGGAGAAATTCAAAAATAGTCAGATTTACAACTGGTCGTTAAAAAATAGCTCAATTTTAAAAGTAATTAAAATTTAACCACTTTTCATGTAAAGATAAATCTAAGTTAAAACACTGTTCAAAACCCGGAAAATACGCCAGTATATTATGCTGGAGTTCCAGCATAAGTACACTACAACTCCAGCATAATATACTGGAGTTCCAGCAAGTATACCGGTCCAGCATAATATACTGGAGTTCCAGCAAGTATACCGGTCCAGCATAATATACTGGAGTTTGTGCTCCTGTCTCCAGTATATTATACTGGAGCCAACAAAGTATACCGGTCCAGCATAATATGCTGGAGTTCATACACAGGTGCACCGAACTCTAGTATATTATGCTGGACCGGTCTCTGTTACAGCAAAATAGTGGCTATTTTTTATTGACTTGGTAAACGCTGACTATTTTTGAATGACCAGTCCGAAAAGTGGTTATACCGTGCGATTTTTACTTCTTTAAATGCTTATTTTTACTTCTTTTCTCACACACGAACATGGCCCAGAACTTTGAACCCACTCTAGATCACCATTGTCAAAGCCAATGTTGAAATTAAGAAAGTTTGATTTTGCAAGCCAAAGAATCTATGCAAACCCATTGGAGTTGAGGGGCGTTAAACGTTTAATATTAATAATAGTACTATTTATGTGAAAAAGCTGTTTCATGATCTAAATTTTTTCTTTAATTATCGTTTTGTTGGCTTTTGTAAATTAACTAAATTTCAACGAGGAAAGATGGGGGGTTAAGGAAAAGGTTGTTAGAGGTGGTGGATGACAATTGTACACACAGAAAGATTGAATGATGGAAGCTATAAAAGGTACTTCCTCCGATCCATAAGTGACAATTTTACATTTAGCACGTCCATTAAGGAAATACGAATTCTCGAAAGAAAAAAAAAGATGTATTCACTAAATTAATCTTTATTAATTGATACCTTGACACTATAGAATATATAAAAAAGGGCAAAGTTTTAAAAAATAATATTAAATTCTTCTCGATTATGTAAATGGACACTTATTTTGGACTAAAATAAAAAAGTAAAATGATCGGGATTTTTACCTAGCTATACTATAATAGAAACCTATTTACTACCTTTATTTAGGTTCCTTATTAATTACTTTATATATCTATATTTACTAGTTTTATATAAAACCATAAAAAGGAGAAAATAAAACATACCTTAAATACTGGATACCAGTTACACATAATCCCCCTACATTTAAGATACTCTTCTTTTGAAATTTTTCAAAGGATTACAAAACATCATCTGTCTTTGTACTTACCCACCATAAGAAACCCATTGATACCCAAAACCATCACCTCTCTTTCATACAAATCAACTAATCTCTCTCTCTCTCTCTCTCTCTCTCTCTCTCTCTCTCTCTCTCTCATACAAATCAAACTATTATCTCTCTAAAATTATAGCATCATATATTTCTCTGAATCAATTCCACCAATAACCATTAAAAAGTTTCAACTATTGACAAATCCATCAACATTATCTTTGAAATTGTAGGTGGAGGGTCTGCCATTGACATACCATTAAAAAGCTTCGAAACTTTGAATTAGATATTCAGATTTTACGAATTTGTGATTTTTTTTTGGATTGGGTGTTATTGAAAACGATTGAAAATATCCTTTAGAGTTTATATCACAATTTTAAGGGAGATTCGTTAAGTTTAAAGTTGGTTTTAGGTTGAATTTCTGATTGAAACTCGAGGAAGAAGAAGTTTCGGAATTGTATTATGATTGTATGATAAATATATCATAATTGTATATGAGTTGTATTTGATACGTCAATACCTAAGACAATTCTGATACAATACTAATACTATTAAAATACAATATTGTATCATAATTTAAGTTTAGAGTTGGTTCTAGGTAGATGTTTTAAATTGAAACTTGAAAAAGATGAAGATCAAAGTTGTATCATAATATAGAATTGTATCATAATTGTATCGCAATTTGTACCTAAAATAATATATGATACAATGCTAATACAAATATAATACGATATTGTATTAGTTTAAGTTTAGAATCGGTTTTAAGTTGTATCAGAATTGTGTAAGAATAATTTCGGGATTGTATCAAATTTGTATCTGAATAATGAGTAGTTGTGAGTTCATGACGAATTTCACAGTTTATATCACAAATATATGATAATTATATATATTAATTTATTAGTATTGTATCAGGTATTAGTTTGGATATTAATGTACCATCTACAAGTTAGATACAATTGTGATACAAGTATGATACAATTATGTTTTACGCATTGATATGTCTGATACAATTCAAATACAATTACGATACAGTTATCATACAATCCCTGAATATTTTTTTCATTTTCAGTATTGTCGGGTCTCCCAACAAAAGAATGATGCAATTGATGATTTAATAATATAAAGTTGTCGCCAATGGTGGAAGACAGAAGATTGAGATTCTGGGTGTAGATTAAGGAATTTTGATGTAGAAAAAAAGGAGAGAAAAGAGGAAAGGGAAAAAAAGGAAAGAATATAATTGAATCTCTTAATTGAAGGCACTAATAATGAGATGAGAGCCTTTTAAGGAGAAATCTACACAATTTGTAAGAAAAACCTAGATACTTATTAAAACTACAAAACATAGAGAATATTGGTAAATAAGTTTCTAATATAGTATAGCTAGGTAAAAATCCCTTTCACTTATTGTAGACCGGAGGGAGTAGTATTTAAACAACTATGCATACTTTGAAAAACTGCTTAAATATTGGTTGTTAAAACACTTAAAATTTTACTCAAAAATACTCGAAGAACCTTTCAACTAGATGATGTTGTTGACTGGAACACTACCATAGTTCAAAGTTCAAACGAACCCAGTAAAAGCTCTGGCCAACACGTAGGAAGAAAACAAATAATAGTTACATAGGATATACAATGCTCATACTATTTATAACTTATTAATTGTTCAGCTAGAAAGCTGAACTATGTTTGACCCAATTCCTGAATCGTCTTTGACCTAACTGATGTGGCCGACTGGGAAGAATTGATCGTTCTATGTTTATCAACTTGCTTTCACCCTCACATGGTGACCCCCAACTAGCAAATTTTAGGGATAGATCCAGTTACTGAATCCAATAGTCCATTTAGTTGAACTTTTGGTGGAATGCGAATGATACAGCAGGGCAGGTGTGATGTCTCCCTAGATGCAGTTAAAAGCCAAAAGATGACAAGTCAGTAGAAATTAAATTATCTTCCTCGCAGATTTTTTGAGTCTTTCCCAGTTGATCGCTTAAACAAATTTTAGCTGCAAACTGAAACACTCTTCAGATGACTCAGTTCAAGTGAAAGAAGAATAACAAGGAACCAACAAGCTTCCCACAGACGATATAATCATCTTCGGAGTTTCAACCATATCTTTATACAAATGTCCGACTAGAAATGAATATCTTAACATGGGAACCAAAATATATCCAAATGTATATATATATTAGCTTGTGAACTGCGATTCTATTCAACTAATAATCTTCAGGCCTCATCACCAGCCGTGTAGTAGCACCTCACATTCTTATCCTGCGAAATACCACCACACGTATACTTAGTTAGATAGACATGACAGGCCATAAAATTATGACAAAATATTTTTTCGAGTTAGAGATTCCTTCTTTAGCCACGAACCCAGATGGAACTCAAAGCTAATAAGAGAATCTTTGATGAGTGATTAATACAATTAACAGGAGATGCAACACTACCTCCCAAAAAGATACTATTCCATAAGATGGCAGAATCAACAAAAGAAATTTAAACTGATGAGAACTCATCTGCCAGCTGTGAGACATCGGAAAGTGAAGTTCAGATATCTACTCACCAGCAGTACGACCCGATGACATCATGGACACGTAAATTGACCAGAATGAAGAAGAAGGTTTTTACTTGCCTGAGATAACATCCTTTGCTTGTTTCGAAATTGAGTTCTAGCCTTGTTAGCGACTGAGTTTGGTGACTTGTACAGCCTCTGATAAAGAGGATTATCATAACATAAATGGTCAGTCAAATTATTATTATTAGGACTCAAGAAACAATGAAAAACACTTATTTTTGTTTTTTTCTGGAGACCTGACAGGGAAGAAATAAATCTATCCAGCAATACAAAAAATACACGAAGAGGAATGTCAACCTAAAGAGATCATGGAATTTCCAGTACCAGCTCAGTGTAAGTACCAAGCAGAAGCAATGGCAGCTATTTATGGGTTGAACTGGTGCAAACAAGAAGGGATTAACAACTATGATCTTGTACTAGATTCTATGGTGGTGACTAACACGCTGAATGACAAACTGACAAAGACACAAATATCCTCGAGCTGAAAAGGGTCATCAGAGACATTGTCCAGATTATAAGTGGCACAGATGTAAAGATTTCTCACTGTTACAGGGAAGCCAACGAAGAGGCTGACTTCTTAGCCAAATAGCTCGAGGATATTTAACCCCCACACTAAAGGCACACAGCCCTGAAGGTGATGGCTTAATCTTTTTAAAAAAGAAAAAATTAAAGTGATCTCAGCACGTCTACACACCACATATCCATAAAATACAGTGCTTTTAGAAGCACAGAGGCACCTTTTCTGTTCCAGATACACGATGCTCAACACCCGAAAGCAATTTTCTCTTCGGTGTGCAACCAAAGACATCATGAAGAAATTCATTTTCCTGCACAGTGGACAGGAATATAGATTATAAGAACTAGAAAAACAACACCAACAGCCCAAAAACTCAAGAGATGGATAAGGAAAAATAAACCTGCATGTGCTTCACAAAACCTCCTCCAAGGAAGTGCTTTAGAAAGTTTAACTGTTCCACAAATTACACATAATTTCAGCAGATAAGCAGCTAGCCAGTTGTTATAAGACTGACAGGGATGACATGGACCTGTATCAGTTGACGCCAGGTACTTGTGGTAAGTGACTCCCCACCAATCTTCATTGAGCTCTCTGGATTGTAACCATCCTAATACCGATTGTAAGGAAGTTACTAGAGCCAGTAGCTACTACAATCACAGAGCAATAACTTGAAAACAGAGTAGTACCTCAAGGAATTCCAAGATATCTCGAAATGTGTTTCTTTGGCTGTTGAGGTCCTTCTTGGCTGATCCTTTGCCTCCTGCCTCTACTGAAAGGCTTCTCATCTGGTTCAGGACCTTCGCTCTTAATCCTTGGATATGCAAAATATTCTTAGATTTGTTTGCTTCATCTGTGGAGCTGTCACTAGATCCTTTATCTTCAACAGAGAACTTCTCAAGATTCCCGACTTCAAAAACTAAAGCAAGTGCTTCGCCAGCTGCAATGCGTACAGCTCTGTCGTCCTTGTCCAGCAGAGTTGAAAAGTAAGAGATTGACCTGCATCATGGGAAGGTGCACACTCCAATTGTCATACACTCACCAAACACAAACCCTGCATCCCATTCTAATCTTCATCCAAATATACTACACGAATAATATGTCCTTGATGGGATGTTACAAATACAACTTTTCTCTCTTCTTTCTTCCTTTTATTGGTTTTTTCTTTGATTTTCCTTTCCAGGAGGGGTAGGTCTGGATTTCGGGCACATACTCACCCTTGCCAGCTTTTTGGGTTTAGTGCCCGTCCATCAATGGTAGCAAGGAGGAAAGACCACGCAGATACCATTGATGTTATCATTGGTGGTGAAGGTTTAGCAGTAGCTACCTGATCAATGAACCAGACACAGTTGTCAATGAACTAAGTAACATAACAAAAGTCATAAGCAAAAACAAAATACTCAGATAGGGAACAAGGATTGGAATTTCTGTTACAATATACCATCCACATGACAGCAGCAAGACCAAACCTTAAAAAGTGAAGCGCAAAACAGAAATATTGATAGATAGGGATCAAGGATCGGCATTAGCATCACAATATACATCCACATAACAGCAACAAAACCAAGCTTCTAAAATCTGCGCCCGCTGAAAAATAAACATCTAAACATGAGGGGTACATACATTAGGACCATTTTTTGGATGAATGACCTGCCACATCAATTGCATTGACTTGTCTGTTTCCTCTGCCTCTTCACCTCCAACAAAAGTGATAATGGCCAAACACTCCAGTAGCTGAATTCACCCAAAAAAGCATTCAAGCTTGATTGCAAAGAAATAACAATACTTAAAGAAGCATCCACCATCTACAAACACACCGAAGATATCTTAGATGTCTCAGAACGAGATTTAAGAGCCTCCGTAATAGGAGACGCTGATTCTTCCAACATTTCATGTGCTTTGTCCCCAGGGCCAACAGTTAAAGCCAAAATTCCTAATCACAGACGAAGACACAAGTCAAATCTAGGCATCACCTTGAAGGATAACTATCTGAACCCAACAGTTCATCAATATGCAGAGTTAGAAGATTACTGACCAAGAAAATGAGATGCCAAAGCTATCTCCTTGGAGGATCCCCGTTTAATGGAATTCAGACATTGTTGCAACAAAGTGGCAAACCTGCATGATAAAACATAACAGTAAGAAGAGCACAACAAGAAGTTACAATTACAGCAATCTGAGAAGTCAAAACATAATAGAACAAAGCTGAAGATTTGACCATAAATATTTAAAACCATAAAACAATAACTGACAGGAAGCATGAGGACCTAAAAGAAACAAAATGTCAGTAATATTGGCAAGTGCTACAAATACTTCATTGGACTCCGGAGGTGGAAAAAAAGAGCTAAATCTTCTACTAAATATTCCATGTGTTTTCTACTATCAGATATATTGATTGCAGCATAATCAATGAATATGCGATCATTTAAATTTGACAATCATCAGTATGCAAAAGACTACCCACATGGCTCATGATTCCTTTTTTAAGACTACCCACATGGCTCATGAAATTTTAACCAAAAAAAGAAAAATTAGAATTAGAAAAATTGTCAAAAATTACACAGATTAATTATTTTTTTTGGTAAGTAACCGCTATGCAGTAACATTAAAGGCTTAACATTTCCTAAGCAGCTATTGAACGAGCAGTAAACATGTTTGGCCCTCTCGCATATGGGATCATTTATTTGAACCAAACATATCCTTGATATTAGCCTTCTGTTAGAAAGAGTGGCAGTCAAAATCTTCATTTATTAATAAATAACAAATTTCTACCAAATGAAAGGAATTAACTCATAGTCATGGCCGTAGTGCTCCTAGAAACAAAAGAGAACATTCACATTCCGTAAACCAATCACATGTGAACATAAATATCTGAGCAATTCTAGCTGGTTTGGCATTTGGTAGATACTATGGATATGGTAGAAAAGTTGTCTAAGGATATTTTACGGATACTAGCCATATTACCCACCACCTTTAACCATCTTAACAAAGATTTTGTTAAAAAAACAAAAAGTAATACTAGCACAAGAAAGGTAATTCCTAAAAGCAAGCATTCCATCCATATGAACTTTAAAGTCAAAGAATAAAATCTGGACAACTGACAGATCAGCATAACACAAGTTCCCTTACTTCTTTTCAACAAACTCATGCTGTATGTCACTATTGAAGGCTTCTATAATAGACGCAAGAGCGTTCTCTCTCGTTGATCCCCTACATAACCAACAAATAATAATTTATATCAGTCACACCCTTTGTCAGAAGCAAAATGCAGTACCATATACAAGCCATCTATCAACTGGAGCTAGTGAGCAAAAATAAACAACTTAGTTATTACATGTGCTCTGTAGCCCAATTTGCTTTAGAAAAGTTCGTTTCCAAAAATTAAAACTATAGACATGCGGATTAACAAGCAAATTAAGTTACCGGAATCAGTGAACTTGTGAATGCAAAAGATTCTATTGAAAAAGGAATCTTAGTGATTCACTGGTTGGGATGCCGGAACTGTTGAAAATGGCAAACTCCCACATCGGTGGGAGACTTAATTTGGGGAGAATTTCTCCCTATAAAAGAAGGCCTAATGTTTAGGATTTAAAAACACATCTCATTTGCCTTCTCATCTTCTTAAGGCATTTGTATCTTGTCTCTTTAGTATTATTTCACTTGTATTTTTGGAGTAGAATAAAATATTAATTGTGTCCGAGGAAGTAGGCAAAATTGGCCGAATCTCGTAAATTCTGGTGTTCATTTTATTGTTGCTTTATTGTCTTATTTATTATTTGGTGGTTGTCATAATTTTTGGTATATTAGTTGTGACTCATTCACACTATATACATTTGGCTTCCGTAACAATTGGTATCAGAGCCAAGGTACTGTCTAAGTATGATCTGTGGTTGCAGCATAGTCTGATCTTCCACATCAGAAAAGATTTATCTTGGTAACTGAGTCAAGGTTCTGTCTGAGTATGCTCTGTGGTTGCAGCTTAGTCTGATCTTCCACACCAGAAAGGAAATAATCTTGATTTGTGTCGTCAGCTATTAAATAATATTTGTGTCAAAGATGGGAGACAATAAACAAGAAGAATCTACCTCAAGTGTCAACAATACATCATAATTGGCATCTTCGCTTATGACAAGAATTGTGTCAAATGCGAAATTTGCAGTAAAAATTTTTGACGGGTCAGGACATTTTGGGATGTCGCAAGGCGAGGTTCTAGATGTCCTTTTTCAACAAGGGCTAGATCTTGCCATTGAAGAAAAAAGACCAGATGTTATTGGAGAAGAAGATTGGAGAATTATCAACCGTGTTGCTTGCGGTACCATTCGATCCTACCTTGCTAGAGAGCAGAAATATCCATACACAAAGGAAACTTCTGCAAGTAAATTATGGAAAGCACTGGAGGATAAATTTTTGAAGAAAAACAGTCAAAATAAATTGTACATGAAGAAGAGACTGTTTCACTTCACCTATGTTCCTGGTACCACGATGAATGAACATATCACCAGTTTCAATAAGTTGGTCACAGATTTGCAAAATATGGATACAACTTATGATGATGGTGACTTGGCCTTGATGTTGTTGGCGTCACTTCCTGATGAGTACGAGCACCTTGAAACTACTCTACTCCATGGAAATGACGAAATTTCTCTCAGAGAAGTTTGTTCGGCTTTGTACAGCTATGAACAAAGAAAGCGAGAAAAACAGAAGGGCGGAGAAGGAGAAGCACTATTTGTGAGGGGTCGTCCTCAAAATCAAACGAGGACAAAGAAGGGAAGATCCAAGTCAAGATCCAGACCCAGCAAAGATGAATGTGCCTTTTGTCGAGAAAAAGGGCACTGGAAGAAAGACTGTCCGAAGTTGAAGAATAAGGCCAAACATAACAATGAAAAGGCCATTATGGATTCAAATGTAGATGATGGTGATAATTCAGACTTCTCATTAGTTACAACAGAGCCATCAACATCATCAGACATATGGTTGATGGACTCGGCTTGTAGCTATCATATGTGTCCCAACAGGGAATGGTTCGTGGATTTTCAAGAAGGAAAATATGGAGTCGTCCACACAGCGGATAACAGCCCTCTTACCTCATATGGTATTGGTTCAATACGATTAAGGAACCATGATGGAATGATCAGAACATTAACAGATGTTCGATATGTACCGGGTTTGAAGAAAAATCTCATCTATGTGGGAGCCCTAGAATCAAAAAGGGTTCAAAATCATTGCAGAAAATAGAGTGATGAGAGTATGCTCAGGTGCACTAGTGGTAATGAAGGCCAATCGGAAGAACAATAACATGTACCGTTATCGCGGTAGTACAGTTATTGGGACAGCGACAGTAACATCCAGTGACGAAAAAGAGGCAGAAGCAACCAGGCTATGGCACATGCGCTTGAGACATGCGGGAGGAAAATCCTTGAAAACTTTATCAAATCAAGGATTGTTAAAAGGAGTAAAGGTTGCAACTTGGAGTTTTGCGAGCATTGTGTCAAAGGGAAACAGACAAGGGTTAAATTTGGTACAGCGATCCATAATACTAAAGGCATTTTGGATTATGTACACTCTGATGTTTGGGGTCCTTCCAAAACACCTTCATTGGGTGGGAAGCACTATTTTGTAACCTTTGTTGATGATTTTTCCCGAAGAGTGTGGGTGTATACAATGAAGAGCAAAGATGAAGTGTTGGGAATTTTTCTCAAATGGAAGACGATGGTGGAGAATCAAACAGGCAGGAGGATCAAGTGTATTCGCACAGACAATGGAGGTGAATACAAAAATGATCATTTCAATAAGGTCTGTGAAAATGATGGCATCGTCCGACACTTCACTGTCAAACATACACTACAACAAAATGGAGTGGCAGAACGTATGAACTGGACCTTGCTGGAGAAGGTATGGTGTATGTTGTCCAATGCTGGCTTGGGCAAAGAATTTTGGGCTGAGGCAATTACATATGCATGCCACCTCATTAATTGTCTACCATCTGCTGTTATTGATGGCAAGACACCATTTGAAAAATGGTATAGAAAGCCTGCTGTAGATTATGACTCTTTGCACGTGTTTGGCTCAACCGCATATTAAAATGTGACAGAGTCAAAATTAGATCCAAGAGCAAAGAAGGCTATTTTTATGGGGATTACTTCTGGAGTCAAAGGATATCTCTTATGGTGTCCTATGATAAAGAAAGTAATATTCACCAGGGATGTTACCTTTGATGAATCTGCTATGGTAAATAAGGTAACAGAAGATACCAAACAAAATGAGGGTGCTTCTAAGCAGGTGGAGTTTGAGGGAAAATTTATTTTTCCTACACAAGAAGCAGAGGAGGAAACAAATGAAGATTATCCTCTGAAAGAAGAGCCAGTAGAGAGGGAGATTCCAACTCAGGAACCTCAACAACAACTTGAATCAATAGCAACCAACAGGCCAAAAAGGACAATAACAAAACATGTTCGTCTTATAGAGACAGTTGCTTATGCCGCCTCAATTGTAGCTGATGATGTTCCTATCACTTATAAAGATGCAGTCCAAAGTTCAGAAGAAGATAAGTGGAGGATTGCCATGAATTATGAAATACAGTCCCTTCATCAGAATCATACATGGAGATTGGCCAATCTCCCGAAGGGAAAGAAAGCAATTGGGTGCAAATGGGTATTTGCAAAGAAGGAAGGATTTCCTAACCAAGTAGATGTTCGCTACAAAGCAAGATTGGTGGCCAAAGGATATGCTCAAAAGGAGGGAATTGATTACAATGAAGTGTTTTCTCCAGTTGTAAAACATTCCTCCATTAGAATTATGTTGGCTTTGGTAGCACAATTGGATTTGGAACTAGTTCAGATGGATGTAAAAACTGCGTTTTTACATGGAAACTTGGAGGAGGAAATCTACATGACTCAGCCAGAAGGATTCAAAGTTGCTGGAAAAGAAAATATGGTGTGCAAACTTGAAAAATCGTTGTACGGATTGAAACAATCTTCTAGACAATGGTACAAGCGATTTGACGAGTTTATGTTGCGGCAAGGGTACAAGAGAAGCAAATACGATCATTGTGTGTATTTGCACAAGCTTAAAGATGGTTCCTTTGTATATCTTCTCCTATATGTTGATGATATGTTGATAGCTTCCGAGAATTCGGAAGAAATTGATAAGTTGAAAATTCAACTGAAGAAGGAGTTCGAGATGAAGGATCTAGGTGAGGCAAAGCAAATTCTTGGCATGGAGATAATAAGAGATAGAAGTTCAAAGAAACTCTGTTTATCTCAAAAAGAATATTTGAAGAGAGTACTGCAGCGTTTTGGCATAGATGAGAAGACTAAGCCGGTTAGTACTCCACTTGCTCCCCATTTTAAGCTAAGTACTACTATGTCGCCAAAAGATGAAGCTAAACAGGAGTATATGTCAAGGTACCATATGCAAATGTTGTTGGTAGCTTGATGTATGCAATGGTCTGTACGAGACCTGAC